TGTTGTAACATCCATAATAATTTTGTTAACTCCATAGTTATCGTAAACATTGCCTTTCTGAGTAGTAATACTTTATTAGCATGGAGTGTATACGAGATCAATGTTTTTTTTATACCTTGACGGTAGCACATACTATCTTTGATCTTTTTCCTTTCGTCAACAACCCACTTCTGGTGGTTTACCTGATTAAAATTCTCACTTCGGGTGATTTGTTGCATATTTGATTACTGCATTTGCTTCTGGAATACAGTAATCCCACTTGGACGAGTCTAATAATATTTGCAACACAAGCTTAATAGTTATTTAACACTAATAATAAAACAATAAAATAAATTGCTACTTCAGAAGTAACTTTATTTTTATTGTCATTAGTCTTTCACTTCGGGCGAAAATTATATTTTATTTGTGGTTACTATATTATTATAGTAGATTCATCGTTACAACTTGACCCAAAATTAAATAATTATCCACTTGCTTCGGGAAGCGGAAAATCATAAATCAAGGAGTCTTGTAATTTTTTTTAATAAAATCATATTAGTACATTTAGCAAAAATATAAGAAATCGCTATTCCAGGAGCAATTTCATATTATACTTATATAATAAAAAAAAATGGGGAAGGAATTCAATATACTAAAATACTCACTTCAAAAGGATTTACTTCGCAAGAACTCTAACTATATGCATTTTAACAGGTACAATATAGAAAATATTGTAATTATATGATTATTAATCATCAAATGTTTAACTGAATAACTGTAGAAAATCCAACAAGATTTCAGGATTTGGTCATCAAGGTAAATTGGCATAGCCGACATCAAACAGAGCAAGTATATTAAATTATTTAAATCAACAAATTTCCAATCATCTCTTATTCGGTCATCAAAAACCTTTTAACTCATCGTCAAGCCTACACAAATCTGTTGAGTTAATAGGCACTACAACACAAATTTATCAAATGATCAGGGAACTACTCCACATAGATTACGAATTTAAAAATTTTCTTTCCCCTTTTTTTACTAGTGTTTTTACCCATGCGTTGCACGGTGAGCAAATTAGTATTAAATTATCCTTTTTTTTAACGTAAAATATGAATATATAATTACAACATATAAGAATAAAAACGAAAGTGTATAACAAATAGTAGTTTCGTTTATAATTAAGAGAAAATGGACAAAACTAAGGATATATAAAAATGCAAAGCAATTGTGCCATTATTAATAATTGTATCAGAAAAAACAAAACTTCTAAAAGCAACATATCAAGGATTATATATTTTCCAGGACTTCTTTGTAAACCACATTTATCGTCCGATTAGGGAATTCTCCATCCTTAGTACAAATAAGGATTTTAAGACCTTTTCTGGATTTTACATTTAACCAAACAAGCTTCATATTTTTTTTTTCTTTTGCGGCTAATAATACAAATCAAACACACACCTCACATATGCCAACAAACCTTAGCAACAAGCGGCACCTCTTTTTTCCAAAAGCGTCGTAAGTAATCATGTATAATTAACACAACACTATAACATTAATATATATCAAAACAAAAAGATGTAGATAAAAAAATCTGACTGGGGTTTCGACGAACGATTCTTTTCCGCTTTTTTTAGCAATTAGGAGACCAACGATCCGTACTCGGAGTGGAAGAAAGCAAAGCTCCGAAATTTTTTTTATTCAATAAAAATTAATTATTTACTGAAAACTTCAGGCTTTCAGTATTAATATACCCCAACTTCAGCAGTAATATTATAAAACTCTTTGGCTAGAATTTCGTGCTAATACCGTGTTATAAAATAAATATAAACTACAGAAGAAGAATTATAGGAGAGAAAAAAAAAAGATTCGGGTGCATCTTATTTAATAGGGATTGGCCTCTAATTATAGGCAAGTTCATCCAGAGATAAGATTAACGAATATGAGTTCACAATAAATATTATCTCTATACATGGAATCCTAATACAACTCTTATATCTTATTTATAACATAAAGAATGTTATTTGGTTTCTTCACTCTTCATTGCTTTTATTTATTTTTTTTTTAAGAAAAAAAGGAGAATCCTGAGTTGTACTTACCACATGTGTACAATGCAAAATAATTTGTGGAAGGAAAATGGAGAGGTAGAAGAATGACTTCATGTGAGTTGTTTGAAAATTGACACAATTAAAAACTTTTATCCGCTAATTTTTTGCCGGAAAAATTGGCGGATCTACACAAAGCTTTACATGCGTCGTTAATTCTACACTATTTTTTTTTTGGTTAGCCAATATTACCCTAAACTATCCAACCGTTAGTCGATTTTGTCCAATTTAGTATTTTCCGTCTATATTAACGGAATTCTATTTGTTTTAATTATAAAAATACCCTAATAGTTTTAAAAATTTATAAAAAGTACCCCAAAAATTTACAAAAGTTAAAAAATAGTCTCTTTTCAGTTTTTATTTAAATTTTTCTTTTTTTATTTCTTTTTACTATTTTTCATAACCATAAAAATTATTATATGATCTTTTAAATAAATAATTTATTTTTAAACACTATAGTACAAATTTATACATATACATTTTGTAACTCATGATTGATTTACATAAACATATTAATTTTTTTATTAATATGGCTAGATAATAATGGTATTATTCTTTTAATCCGTCTTTTTCAATTTAAAGAATAAGATTTTTTTTACTAAAACTAATTTTTTACAAAAAATAAAAACATTTAGCATAGATTAAAAAAATATATATTAGTACATTTTAATTTATTGCAAAGTAACTAAACAGACTATAGATTGTATTATCCAATTAAAAAGTTATTAAATTAAAATATAGGGTATTGTCTAGTGTTTAGGATGTTAAGTTTCATGAGAGTAGATATAAAATTAATTGTCACCAAAGTATTTCTAACCGGTAGAATGATTTTACCCACGTTTAAGCGGGGTCCACTAAAGATAAGAGGGTTGCATTGGATGGTTAGGTGATTTAAAATATGAGATGATTAAAATTGTGTTCGAGGTTCGATTCACTGGAGAAATCTATTTTTTTTTAATGTGAAAAAAAGGTGGAGTCCAGTACTGGAGTAGATTTTTTTTATTATTAAAAAAAAGATTTCCTGCTGAAGTTACATATATTAATTCTCAAAACATTATCACAAAATGTTAAACCCTCGCAGTAATAAATATACATATTTTTTATAAAATATTTTGTACCATTTTTGTAAATGGCACGACACTATATTCTTGTGTTGGGCCAACGTAGAAACGAAATAGATTTTTTTTTTTTTTTACTTTCTGTCTGTACTTGGCCTTTTAAAAAAATTTATATTTTAGGTTTGATTTCTTTTTAAATTTTAAAATACAATCTAACGTCAATTGAATTAAATTGTAATACATTAAAGTATACCAATAGATTCTTTTTTAATCTATGCGAATTGTTTAATTTTTTTTTTGAAAAATTAGTATTAGTTAAATAATTTTATTCTTTAGATTGAAACAAATAGATTAAAAAACAGTATCATTATTGTAAAACTACATTATTGAAAAATTAATATGCTTATGTAAATCAAACATGACATACAAATATGTAATTAAAAATTTGTACATTAGAGTTTAAAAATAAATTATTTTTAAAAGATCATATAGTATATTTTTATAGTTATGAAAAATAGTAAAAAAAAAATAAAAAACAGAAAATTTTAAATAAAAACTGAAAATAGACTATTTTATAATTTTTATAAATTTTTGGGGTCATTTTTATAAATTTTTAAAACTATTAAGGTATTTTTATAATTAAAACAAATAGAATTCCGTTAATTTAGACGGAAAATAGCAAATTGGACAAAATCGGCTAACGGTTGGATAGTTTAGGATAATATTGGCTAATCGAAAAAAAAAATAAGATAAAATTGACAAAGCATATAAAGCTTTGGGTAGATCCACCAATTTTTCTATTTTTTGCCGGTCGTGTTAACTTGAAATCCATTTTGCGTGCTTGTCTTATCAAATTGGTTTACATCTTTTGAACTCTCATTTAACAACATATTGTTCATCTATTATAAGTGAAAATATAAACTAAATAATAATTTTGATACAAAGAGAATTTTTAGTATTGAATATTTTATTAATTTTTTCCGCCACCTTAACTGCAAAATCAAATCTCCACCTGTCACCATTAATCGTTACAGTGTGACACTGGACAACAGAACTTAATATGAACTAGTCCTTTGTGGTGTAAAATATTTTTCTCTTCTATCTGACTGTCTCCCTTATTTAAAGAAAAAAATACAATATTCAACTTTTAGTAATCTCTTTTCTTTTTAAAAGTTTTTTTAATATCCAATTAAATGAACGCAACAAAACATTAAAGCATGAGGTTAATAAATAAAATTAAATATGGTTAATTAATTATTTAACGTACAATCATCATCATCACCCGGGAAAAAAAACCACTAAAAAGCATCTGCGCACTAGAACTCTCTGGAATCTCTGGAATCAACCATAGCCAAAAGAAAGCAAGCTTCTGGTGCCCCCACTGTTTGCCCAACTTGTTCGTTGTTGCCATTACCTCCTCGAACAATAGCCATTAATTTATTAGTGCAAATCACCTAATTGGTACAGTAACTTTAAACCTTACACACTTTCGGTTCTACTAACTTTGCGTGGCTTCATTTCAATCCTAGACCTCCTTTATTTCTTTTCTTTTTCTTTTTCTTTTTTGATAAAAGGGGATCCTTCTTTATTTCAAATCAAGGTTGTCATCCTATCTTTGAGAGGAAGAATTGAAAGTGTTAATACTATTGCTAATTGGTAAAATTTGAACTCGCTATATTTTTTAGAAATCTTTAAATTCCTAACTAGTATTAGCCCAGTAGTTTTGCTCCCAGTTGCCATCATAATTACACTTTTGGAATGAAACCAAAGTTTTGGACTAAAAAAAAATTTGAAAAAGAATCCATAATATGTCAACAGATTGAAGTTTAAGGGGCTAGTTGTGCAGTTTACTCTTTTTTATGCCTTTCAAAATATTTGAAGTGCTCAAAAAGTAAAATTAGAAACTCCAATTCTAAATTTTTTCTTCCCTCCCAAAATCTTATATAAACACCTCCCAACCATTAAACGTTGATCACACCATTTCAACAGCAAACAAACACGTCTTCACTTCTCCTTCTTCTTCTCCCACTGTCATTAGTTTCAATAATAAACAAAAGAATTTCCAACCAATTTCTTCAATTCATCAACCAGTTATGGCTCCAAGCTTAAGCAAAAACTCCACAGAAGTATTGGGAGCTGTGGATGACCAAATACCACTATCAATAACTCTTGAAGGCTCAGATTTTTTAGCCAATGGTCACCCTGTTCTAACAGAGGTCCCATCCAACATTGTTGCTACACCATCTCCATATTTCTCCAAGAAAAATCTGTCCAGAAAAATGGTAGGAAGTTTTGTCGGCTTTGATGCTAAAGAACCAAAGAGCCACCATGTAGTCCCATTAGGAAAGCTTCAAAACATAAGATTCATGAGCATTTTCAGATTCAAAGTATGGTGGACCACTCATTGGGTGGGAGATTGTGGTAAAGATGTCGAACACGAGACCCAAATAATCATCCTGGAGAAATCCAAAAACGGAAACCGCCCTTATGTTCTTCTCCTCCCCATTCTTGAAGGCCAATTCAGAGCTTCATTGCAGCCGGGCGCGGATGATTACATCGACCTCTGCGCGGAAAGCGGATCTTCCAAAGTTTGCGAATCGAGGTTTCGCAGCTGCCTTTATATGCACGTTGGAGGTGATCCATTCCAATTAGTGAAGGAAGCCATAAAAGTGGTCAGGGTCCATTTGGGAACTTTCAAGCTTCTTGAAGAGAAAACTCCGCCAGGTATAGTTGATAAATTTGGTTGGTGCACTTGGGATGCCTTTTATCTTAAGGTACATCCTAAAGGGGTATGGGAAGGGGTAAAAAATTTAGTAGAGGGTGGATGCCCGCCAGGTATGGTCTTGATAGACGACGGATGGCAATCCATTTGCCATGATGAAGATGAATTGAATGATCACCAAGAAGGGATGAATAGGACTTCAGCTGGTGAACAAATGCCCTGTAGGTTAATAAAATTTGAAGAAAATGCTAAGTTTCGGGAGTATAAGAGCTCTAGGGTACCCTATGAAAGAGGGTTGGGTGGTTTTGTTAGGGATCTTAAAGATGAGTTTAGGAGTGTAGAACATGTTTATGTTTGGCATGCTCTGTGTGGGTACTGGGGTGGGGTTAGGCCTAATTTAGGACCTAAGATGCCTGAATCTAGGGTCATTAGTCCTAAATTGTCACCGGGATTGCAGATGACAATGGAGGATTTGGCTGTTGACAAGATTGTCAACAATGGAGTTGGGTTGGTCCCACCAAACAAAGTGCAAGAGTTGTATGAAGGTTTGCATTCGCATCTTCAATCAGCTGGAATTGATGGAGTCAAGGTGGATGTTATACATGTAAGCTCATCAACCCTTTCTTTTTCAAACCTAAAAAGTTGTTTTAGTAATGTAAAAGTTCCTCGTAATAAAACAATAAACACCACAGATTGTAACAAATAGGTCAGGATTTTTTTCAAATCTCAGTATAAGAAAAATGGTAAAATTTGGCTCAAAAACCAAGCCAAACTTCTTGGATATGTTTGGCACATTTTTGGTTTTGTTTGTTTTCCAGAAGAGTCCAGCAGTCAAGCTGGATGGCGGCTTTATAGAGCATTCATTTCATTTTTTAGTGTAGTTTAAATTAATATAAATTATTTGCAGTTGCTCGAGATGCTAAGCGAAGACTTTGGAGGAAGAGTTGAGCTAGCCAAGTCATATTACAAAGCTTTGACTGCATCAGTCAGAAAACACTTCAAAGGCAATGGCGTTATTGCTAGCATGGAGCATTGCAATGACTTCTTTTACCTTGGAACAGAGGCCATTGCTCTGGGTCGAGTAGGTAAGGGCATATGGTTTCCGATCAACGAGCTAACTAACATGGTTTTGTATTACACTTTCTGTGACATATTCTATTTCGTAATTCAGGGGATGACTTCTGGTGCACTGACCCATCGGGTGATCCCAACGGTACATTTTGGCTACAAGGGTGTCACATGGTGCATTGTGCTTACAACAGCCTATGGATGGGCAATTTCATTCAACCAGATTGGGATATGTTCCAATCAACTCATCCATGTGCTGAGTTTCATGCTGCTTCCAGAGCCATTTCTGGAGGACCAATTTATGTTAGTGATTCTGTTGGCAGTCACAATTTTGAACTGCTCAAGAGTCTAGTCTTGCCTGATGGTTCCATCCTAAGGTGTCAAAATTATGCTCTTCCAACTAGAGACTGCCTCTTTGAGGATCCTTTACATGATGGGAAAACCATGCTCAAGATTTGGAACCTCAACAAGGTACATTAGACTAACAATCCGTTACCAAATCAAATCAATGCCATTTCCTAAACTAACAATCTGATCACCAAATCAAATTTATAAACTGTAGAGGCTAATGCAAGTGATTGCCAAACTCTGCCCGAAATGTGAAAATTGATGTTGTGTTTTGGGTTCATTTTGGCAGTTTGCCGGAGTACTTGGAGTGTTCAACTGTCAGGGAGGAGGTTGGTGTCGTGAGACAAGGAGAAACAAAAGCGCAAGCCAATTTTCAGTCACCATTTCATGCTTGGCAAGTCCGAAAGATATCGAGTGGCAAAATGGAAACACCCTAGCATTAATGTCCCAGGATGCAAATGATGAAGGAACTTATGCAGTTTATATGCACCGTCAAAAGAAGCTCAAACTAATGAACATTACGGACAACTGCGAAATTTCTCTTATGCCATTCAATTATGAGCTTTTGACAATCTCTCCCACAACTTCTTTCAGACAAAAATCAGTTCAATTTGCACCAATCGGACTGGCTAATATGCTGAATTCCGGTGGTGCAGTGGAGAGCGTAACGTGCGATAGTGACAAAGCCACAGTGACTGTCGGAGTGAAGGGATGTGGTGAAATGAGAATTTTTGCATCAGAGAAACCTCAGTGTTGTATGATTGATGGAGTTTGTGTAGATTTCAGGTATGATTCTCAAATGGTCATAGTTGATGTCCCATGGCCTAATTCCTCAAACTTGTCTTTCATTAGGTATCTATTTTGAGAAATCTTCGTTTGGAATTGCTCGTTCATGATAAGCTGTAATATAATGTTGTATTTACCTGTCCAAGACCAGCTGGATAGGAGTTGTAAGAGCTAATTATTCCTATTTTATCGAAATTGAATGTGTATTCTAATCTTTTTTAATGACCTTTATATCGACTTCATTTTCCAAAGCTCAAACCATAAGTACTTATATAAATATAAGAAGACTATAAATAGAGTATCATTCCCAAATATGCACAAAAAGAAAAAAAGAGTATCATTCCCAAATAATGCACCACGAGCTATTGTAATTGCACATTAAATAACGCTTTCTTCTTCTTAATTCTATTGAAGTGGCAGAGGAAAATTATGAGACAGAGCTACATATAGTATTAGCTCCAAGAATGCAGGAATATAGGAAGCTATTGCCCAAGATTTCATAAGTTTGGCTTGGGATTTTGCTGGCCTTCTAATTTGGTTTGCTCTGAAACTTTGCAAAAAGCTGTGACTCTTGATGATGCTATTAAAAGCTTACGCTCTGAATTTTTGGGATCAACTTTGTAGAAATTTTACTTCCCAGACCTGTGACGGAATACCATTAGAAAAAATTAGCCATCCTTTGGCTACAGTCAAGCACAATTTTAACTCCACAAGCTAATTGAAACTGAGTTTTCTCTTCTTATATAAACTTTTAGTTTCAACAAATTTTCTATCTAACTTTTCAAATGTGTAGTTTGTACCTAGCTCTGTTTTTTGTTTCATCCAAGATAACAATTGGAAACCAATTGACTTCTTTAATAATACGCGAACAATTCTACGTATTCCCTCAGGTCTTTAATATAAGCTATTTTGATTTTGTCCTAAGTTTCACCTGATAGGCACTTTTAATTGAAGAAAAAACCTTTAAAATATATTTTCACATTTCTTTGTATTCTCATTGATTGTTATGAAATATTTTTAAGATTTTTTGGTGAATGAAAAATATGTACTAGATTAAACCTAAGACAAAGTTAAATTGCTTTATATTAACGACCGTCGGAAGTATTTAGGAATGGCTTTGCTGTAAACTATTGTACTGGGGCTAATTGTTCATTTGTTTTATCGACTCTTTTAATAGGTGGTCTCAAAAACAGAGCAACTTTGAGTAACACAACAGGCCATTTGTACAAAATAAGAACTGAATTTAGAGAATTGGAAAATGCAATCAAAGCACGAGCTACTGTGTTTCATTTGACATATTTTTCCCGACACGGAAGAAAGTCAATTGTAGGGAGTTTAAGTGGTGAAAGCGGTAAATACCTGAATAGTTCTGCCGGCATTGACCGGAGTAGCCTCTGCAAGCACAATATCACCGACTTCGGCACTCTTAAGATGGTTTATGTTAAGTTGGATTCCGATAGGCTTTCGCTTGCCGGAAGCTAAGTAGGCACCGTAATCACCAATCTCCTCCGCAATCATTGCCGACAAACCACCGTGCAACGCCCCAAACGGCTGTAAACACGAATATTTAATTGAACGATTCTGCGACCGTCACAGTCCATAATTACGCATTTGAATGGTTGATTAAGTGAGCATTTGGTTACCGGGCAACACTTCTGTGTAATTTGAAGGCGGCCGGAGATTAATTTTGGCAATCGCTGGTCGATATGGAACCCGAATGTTTTGAGAGCTTGAGTTGGGAATTTCATCTTCGTGATAACTGAAAGTTGACTCCAGTGAACGGCGGAGGAGATGTGGAAATTTTCGCTTTCTTTTTCCCTCTTTTCAAAAACTAGTGCTATATATAAGTTATCCGTTGGAGATACTCGGTGGCCATTGCTGCTCCCAAATGTTGTAAAATGACAATTTTTTTTACCATGGAGGCATTTTTACCACGGTGGCCATTGCTGCTCCATTCCTGTCTCGTGTCTTTAGCTTACGAATATATAAAGAAGGATTTGTACCAATCTATACCAAAGGGAGCTTCGATTCTGTGGAGGTCATTGGTGTGGAACTATGGTGGCATTCTAGGATTTTCAGCTCTGTTATACTTCATTCTGGCTATTAAAATGAATAATATGCAACTGTGTTTCTTGGATTACTGTTTCATTGCCAGAATGAAGTAGAACATAACTGAAAATCCTAGAATGCCACCATAGTTCCACACTAATGAACTCCACAGAATTGAAGCTCCCTTTGGCATAGGTTGGTACAAATCCTTTTTTATATATTCGTAAGCTAAAGACACGAGACAGGAAATGTTATCGTGATTGACGATTTCAATTTCGACGAAAATTCGTTCAATTCCCAGAAGTTGTCAATCCCTTCTTTATAAAATTAAGGCTCTCATTGGATTTATATTTTCACTATTAAAATTCAAGAGCCGAAACCAAGGAAGCTAAAATCGAAAAGGAGAAAACAACAAAAGCCAATTTGAATCAAATAGTTGAAGTCAAGAATTTGGTTGAAACTCTTCATGGAGATCTAATCGGTGCCAGGTTACTAATTAGGGAAGGAGAAGGGATGAAACTGTAAGGTGTCAATAAAAAGGATAAAATAATCTTTTAGATTGTCATAACACATTAGTTATATTTAAGAAATTTACAAGAATTATAAAAAAAATGTTAATGTTCTTTAGAATAATTTTCAGCTCATGCCCTTTTTAAAAATTTTCTCATTTTAATATTCACCCTAAAATGGAAAAATCCTAATGCCCTTAAGAATAATTTTGATCTTTCCCATGCCCTTTTTAAGAATTTTCCCAAACCAAAAATACATAATTCAACAAAAAGTTAATACTAAACTTCACTAAACTCTGAATTGAATACACTAATCCAAATTCCGCGCAGAATCAACTTTCATGGTGGAGCGGAGCCTTAGATTGGAAACAATCATCAAATTCAAAATATACATAATCATTAGGCTGTAATTCTGCAAATAATAGTTGGAGCATGGAGCTGAACTGATCATGTAATAGTCCACATCAATGCATACAATTTTCTTCTGATAATTACCAAAGGAAATTGCTTGCCTTTCTTCCTGAAAGTTTGAACCAAAAATAGACCACAAGGAAACAGAAAATTGCAAAAAGCACCACATGCTTTACGTTATTGCATATCCCTTGTTTGATGGTCTTCTGGTTCATTCTCCTCATAATGTTACTCTTCATCCATGCCTGAGCTCTCATTACAGCCTTGCCCTGCAGCGAACATCATCAAATGAAACGTCATTGTTACTCCTTTTCCGGCCCCTATTGACAATTTAACAAAACGGACTAGAATAAAGGATGGACGGAGTATCTACTATCATTATATTTAGACCTCAGGGGAAACATAAAGGAACATTCCAGGCAAATTCTCAATAGCCTGTTCATCAGAAACAAAATTTGTTCTTTTAGAAGCAATTGATATAACTGGTATTTACATTATGCAGCGATTCTCCAAATTCATATGAGAGTGATCAATACTTTCTATTCAAGAACTCCTTATCTGCAACATTATAGTGTGAATTTCTTCAATATGATGCCATGATATCTTTTGTAGTTAGCCTTCCTACATGTTACTTTGATTAAATGTCTAATACTATGAACATTAAGGCAGTCTAGTACAGCTGTTTAAGAAGGCGAATCCCAGGATCTAGGCATTTGTCATTTTGCTAGTGACAGTAAAATTCTTGAAATGAAATGGAAATTAATCGCCTAATGCGCATTGCACGAAACTGGAACGGCGCAGTAAGGTAACTCTGTAACCAGTCAAGTTTGCAGCATATCAGATCACTGAACATTTCGTTTGCACCTTCTGCATCTGTCGCCTAATACATCTACATTGTACCTTTCCTGCCACAATATCAGATAACATGACTAGCCTAAAAGGTAAGCGACAATAAATTATGTTCCTGTGTGTATCAAGCAGATAAGCCAGTGAAGCCTTTTATGACAACAGCCCAACTTTTCTTACATCGTCTCCAAATATCTGTAATCTGTACTTAAAAACAACGAAATGATAGTCTGCATATAATAATCCTGACCAGTACAGTGTGTGCATTCAAGGTTAGTTGAAGTAATCAAGAAACGGATTTAACAAAAATTACTCAACCGGAGTTAGTTTTGCTCTTACATGTCTCCTGTGGAAGAGCTCTGAAGATGAGGAGGAAGCATCTTCCGGTGACTTCAACTTTTGCAGATTTTCATCAACCTTGTTAAGAAGAGGATGAGATGAACAAGGCAGGCTAATAGAACGGACATGGCCAGAAATTCTTTTGGGAATGGCGGACGCCATTTTCTGTTTTCTTCTGTGTTAAAGAGAAATAGGATTATTTGCTACAAAGTTTCGCTAACAGCCGTTACAAGATTGTAGGAGCTTGTGGAGATGTTGAAGTTTCAACCTCTTGTATCTCAAGTATACATAGAGAGGGAAAGAAAACAGAGAGAATCTTAGCTTCTAGATCCATCTGCTATCAAACTACAGCTAAGGAAGTAATACCTATGTCTAAGGTCTGTTTCTCGTTGTCGGATCTCAAAAGCTGCATTTACAATAAAGATCTCCCTTTTGATACAAGCCATCAATTCCATCACCCTCTCCAAAGCCTAAGGTTTCATCAGGCAGAAACGAAAGTCGAAAACCTTGGTGTCATGATGGGAGATGGAGGACAAGAGGAATCTTTACCCATTCGTGGGAAATTTTTTAATGTCGCAATGCCTGCAAGTTGCGGGAACTGAACAAGTGTTGATACTAGCCAGATTTTAGATTTCATTTATGGAGTCCATTCAATTTTGATTAGACCAAATCACATGCATAACGAAACAATGATTAATGCTAAGATCTTAGTTTATGTTTTTCGAGGCCTTCTGTCTTCCTATAGTTAGCGCAAGAGCATATGGTTGACCTTCATTAATAGCACAGAGAAGATGAATATACAAATAGGCTCATGTGATCTGCGTTCTTCATGTTTATGAGGCCAACGTAGAGAGATTATAAAAGAGTTGGACCCATTCTTGTCCCAAAATTATGAGGCAAAGGCACAAGAATGTGTGCGACAATTTTTATTCTAGAGAGGAAACATTATGCGTTGGACGATATTCTTTCTGTTGATCTACATTAATGAATAGAAGGAATGATATGAACCTCTTACCTCAGCATTCACATTCACGTTGTGAATTCGCGCAGCATTCCTTCTGCAGAATGCACGATGATTATTTCTCTAGCATTTATCCGCGACTTTTGCTACCATACACAGATCAAACATCAAAGGATTTGTAACTAGCTTCGCAACTAATGTTCCCGACTCATCTACGCAACGTCCCAACCCTACGCGTCTCGAATGTCACATTGTATTGTTGTTCATTATATACTGCATCACAAACTTGAAGAGCCCTGAGCTACTATAACTGGATATAGAATGCAACTGAGAATCGGGAAGTTCCCTGCAAACTTTCCAGATTTCAGCAATTGGGAGTGAATTTTTTCAATTTTTCAGTTCAATTAAAGGTCATCTCACTGAGCCAAATGCAAATTCTTTAGCAAAAGATCGAGTTCAGCTCAAGTTTTTCATTAAATGAACAGCGCGAGCCAAAGAATAAACAGGTACCCTAAAAAAAAGAAAAAGAAACCGAATAAGTACGAAACAGAAGCGGATAATTTAATTTTCGTTTCAAAAAGCCAAAGCTGTACATAGCAGAGAGCAAATACAGCGATTTATAAGTTTAGCAGGCACTTGCCCTCATGCCAAAGAAGGTAGCATCCCTATTTAAACTATGATGCTACGAAGCAGCAAAACTAAACAATCGATGCCTTCCACAGCTATCTGTCTTCTGTTGAATCCCTGTTCATCCTACGAGGCTTTCCATCTTTCATCGTCACTCTCAGATTCGAAACGCTCACCACTCCAAAGTTTAGGCCTTCGATCCATGGGTTCCTCAGCCTATACAGAATTCCTCAATGAAATCAGATAAAAATGGGAACACAGTGGTACTGAATTTAGTTGACAAATATATTAATATTAAGAATAAAAGCTGGAGGAACCGCTCAAGACAGAAACCTGTTCTGGAACTTCTGTAACGGCAGGAGTTGTTTGAAATTGCACACTTGGAGCATGCGGCAACCTTGAAAGCTGCTCAAGCAACATGGTCCTGAAAGAATCATGATACTAATGACATTTGGGCCAGGAATGAAAGAACAGGACATGTAAATGATTAAAAACACAAGAAAGGATGCTAGAAGGACTAAGCAGAGGTAGGTAAACATGTCAAACAACAAAAATGCTATGTACTGAACTGATGGCACCAAAATACAGTTTTAGTTAAGGATGTACAGATGAAAGAGGATCACGGAATAACTTGAACATACGCTCTATCATGAATTGCAAGGAAAGTAACACTATGAATGTTATCAAGGCCTTCCTAGCATAACCTATATTTTCACAAGTGACAGCTCACAATTGAAAGCGGACAATGGATAGGGTACCTAGTAATTTGATCATGTGGATATGAACATTACACACATATTTGAGTGTATATGCCACATGATTAAGCGTACAAGTTCAGAAAAAAAAGAGAAGTACCAGAACATCTCACACAGAGAAGATCCATACATGCATACAAACATCTACTGTGCAGAGACATCCTCATTGACTTTCTTTCTTATTTGCATCAGCTTCATATAAAATTAATTAGTGTCCCAAACCTTAACTAAATCTATTTGATAATGAACCGCACCACCCGCATTGTTATCAATTGCTAATGCATAATAAAATCAAGACACTAACTCCTTTTTTTTTTTTTTTTGATAACGCCGGGAACCCCACCAGAGATGGGTAAACCCATGCCCACTGCAATAGCCTGCAAACCACAGTGGGAGGTAAACCACCCTAAGCATGCCCGGGGTGACAAGCTCGGGTGCAAAATGGGGGGTTCATTAGCGGGTTAGCCATAACTCTGCCCATCCAAAAACTTGGTCAGTTCTTGCACATGCATTCTTATTCTGTACTTTGTCTCTCAAAGTGCTCCTATTTTAGAGAAATATCCCTTATAACATGATTCTAGGAAGAAGAGGGGCAAGGGGCTTAAGGAGTAAGAAGAATTACTTGATTCTCTCCAGATGACTGTCTGAATTTTGGTTCTCCATGGGGCCCGGCGGCACATGAAGAACATAATCTGGACCGAAATACTCATAGTATTCATTATAAGGCAAATTATTATCTGGTTCCACTCCTACAGCAACTGCTGTCTGCAAGCACAAAACAGATCTGCTGAGTGGCAATTTACAACAACAGAGGAAATTAGAGCAATAAGAATAGTAGAATACAGAGAGAAAGAAACAAGAGAGAGACCTCATAGCACCAGCATCGTGCAACATTCCTAATCGTATAGCCTCCCCCACCCAAAACCATTAAGGGAACATTGAAAGTTCTCAAGTAACGCAGGCATTCAGCATGACCTTTAACAGATAAGTTGAAGCAACCCAATCTATCACCAGCCAATGAATCGGCCCCACATTGAAGCACAACAACTTCTGGCTGATAAACCTCCATGACCTTTGCGATGACCGGACAGAACAAATTCTTGAAACTCCGGTCATCCATTCCATCATTTAGTGGAACATTAAGGGCATAGTATTTACCAAGACCAGCCCCAATATCTTTAATGTGTCCAGTACCGGGAAAAAAGTCTCCAAATTTATGGAATGACACAGTCATGACTCTATCAGTGGTGAAGAAGGCTTCCTCAACACCATCTCCATGGTGTATGTCGATATCTATATACAACACGCGCTGCCAAAAAAGAACATCAAAATCAGGAAAATAAATAAATCAAATAAAATAAAATAAAAAAATCGTAAAGTAGTGGAGGAGATGGGACTTTGTACCGCCCGTAAAGCTATAATAAAAGCAAACTTAAAAGAATATGATACAAGCAATAGGAATATGTATTCAATTTGCAGAGAGGAAAAGAATGTGACGCAACATGTATACGGAGCCAAGGAGAGAAAAAAAGAAGTAAAGATCAATTTAGACTTTCACTATCAATAATAAATTGTGAGCCACTAGACCTTCCGTTTCTTTCATAATCAATACAAATGTGCAGCAGAGAGATGCACCAAGATAAAATTTCAGAAGCAACTTCGGAAGTAGTGCAGAATTTTTCTTGAAGAGTTGAGACATAGATTGACAGAAGTTAATTCCAGGTTAATTACTGAGCCTCACAAAGAATTCCAATTACCATGAACAACCAAAAATTAACAAGTAAAGAAGCTATTCAAGCTCTTGTAAGTTTCATTTTGCGATCATCTCATTTCCAACTATCCACAGGATCATCTTTAATTCTCAAAATTATAGAGAAAAATTCAATTTTTATCATGATACCAAACTTTCCAAATTGTCAGACACAAAACCAATACCCTTTTCACGACTCAGACAAAGTTGAAACTGAACAAAGCCAAAAACAAAATAATCATATCTGTGTGAAATTCGGTTGAATTTAAAACCGCAACCATTTTCAATAGCATGCAAAAGAAATAAAGATGTACATCTGGGACCAAGGATTTGCATGCCTGTTTAAGCATATGACTAGCTACTTGAGAGTTAAAACACCCTTCAAGCTATTAAAAGAAAGAAGCCCTTTCAGTTCAAATGTACATAAAAGGAGAATATTGGTGTCATTCAAGAATAGAACAAACTAAGAACTTATAGACTGTATATCAACGTGACGTGCAGGGACAACCAGTAATCACATGAGGAACACAAAGATGATAAAATATGGTTACATGGGCACCGAACCTTAAATAACTTTACCACGAAAACCTGCCTTCCGTCATCTTTACCCGCATACCAAACCAAACCCCCCCCCCCCAATCCAAACCGCCAAGATAAATGCCACACCAACCAAACTGCTGGTCATTAAAACTATTGTAGAAATAATGTACAGCCAGCAATATAATGGGAAGACGTGGTTTGTTAAAAACATGAATCATAGTTGTCATTATAGCTATTCCTTGCATTAGATTATCATAACAAACATGAGTATCAAAATTAGTTCCCGATGGCAAACCAAGCAGAATAATTTGTCCCTAGCCAATTAGTAAAGCAAATAAGGAAGCTTGGGTGGGTATGACAGGCAAGCATTGGTCTTATTTCATACCTCAAATCAGACCTTAACATTGATTAAGCTAAAACCTAAATCTTTCATATCTGCCTGAAACAACAAAAACAATAAACATAAAGTAAGATTAAGACGAAGTTACCCTGTGGACTTTGAGGAGCTCAAGAATTCCTAGCACGATATCATTGACGTAACAAAAACCGGAAGCTTCACTTTTCTTGGCATGGTGAAGTCCGCCAGCCCAATTAATCGCGATATCAGCATCCTGCCGGTTAAGTTTGACAGCAGCCCCAATCGATCCGCCCGCAGAAGCCTGGCAAAACTCGAACAGGCCGTCAAAAACCGGGCAATCCTCGCCCACATTGAACCGTTTCAGGTACCGCGAGTGGGTATGGTCCTGGACGGCATCCGGCTTAACTGAAGAAAGGAAATTGACATACTCTTCGGAATGGAAGCGGCCAATGTCGTCTGCTCCGGCAGGAAACGGGCGGTTGATTTCCATCTTCCGGTGTAAAGAATAGTGAACAATCAGGTTGTGGGCCATACGAATTCGGTGGGGTTTCATGGGGTGCCCTTGGCCGTAGTAGTAGTCGCCAACACTTGGTTCATAGAAATACGTCACTCGCCGCTTTGTACCGTCCGGACCTGACGGTAGGGAAGCACCGCTCGGAGGATCCTCCATTGTTGTTCACTTGGTTCAACTACCCCAAGTCCAAAAGGCAAGCTCCCAAAATGAACTTCTAAAACTAAAAAAATTGATAAACCCAAAAAAATAGGCGTAATTATTCACGAGATTACAAGGGATTCTGCTCCCGTCGAATACTTTTCAACCTTAATATAGTATCACTATTTTCTTATATATATGGAGGAATATGGGCCGGTGATAAGTTTTACGGCCCCGCGGCCCAAGAAAAAATTCATAAATCCCTTTACATTTCATGAAAGCAAATAACACTTAAAACACGTGTCAGTTTCAAAAAGTTTTTTTCTCTCCCAAAATGAAAAAAATACATCTTTGGCAAAAGTATAATGCCACATGTCTTGTGTTCATCCGAAAAAAGAAATACTCCACTTTTGTGCCAATATATAAATGTTTACGTTAAACACTCCTCAATTTAATGAATTTACATTCTGTAAATATAAATATGTTCACATTAAATAAAACATCCCCAAGAACCATTTCCTCTCTAAAACACAAGAGAGAGAAAGTCCTCTCTTTCTCCAAGTGTGAAGAGCCTTTTTTTCCAAAACCACTATCCTTTCGTATCATCCCTAGTTTTCCCAAAACCAGTTAAACTTCTTCAAAATTTCCTCCTTTCATTCGGATAGTGGAAGATTACTTGGCAACTAGTAGTTCAATTTTGCCATTTGTTCAACATGCAGCAGTAAATAAATTATTTAGCTCACCTTTTCAAAATCCGAATGCTCTTATCAGATCTCATTAGAACCGTTTAAAAACAAACAAAATCTTGTCAGTGTCTATAGGTATTAGCAAAAGGCCAGTACAAAGTACCTACCTTTTATTCTTCCTTTTTGTTTGTTTGCTGTTCCAAGACATTAATGGTCTTTCCAACGTTTCTCATTTGGCTGCTCAAGATCTCTTTTAACGAAAAAGTTCAACACCTTTTCCCTTTCTCTTCCAATCCTCGTCTGTCCACTTTCTCATCTGGTCTTTCTAGCCCTTTTCTTTGTAATAATTCCTCACTCCTGTTGATTCCTTCTTTACCGGAAAGTTGTTGTTCTACTACTTTACCGATTTAATCTTTTCATATCTGCTTTTACTCTTCCTTTATCATGAGTCATAGGCATGCAATGGACGAAGATTCTGTGACAGACATGTCACTTCAAGGTTCGGAGTTCTCAGAAAAAGATCATGATTTCAATCCGGAAACTGAAGTGCATCCTCAGTTTGTACAGACTACTTATGAGAGATCTCTGCCAGTCCTGCTTAACGACTATAATACTAGTCTTTCCCGAGAAAATTTCAAGTTATCACTGCTGGGTTATTTCCTGGATGATAGATCTTTCACAGATGTGGACATACAAGCTTACATGGTAGAGAACTGGCCCATGTACCAGGATCTTGCATTATGACCACAACTTCTTCATCATTAAGTTTGCTTCAAGGGCTGATCTCCTCATGGCCTTAGACAATGGGCCTTATACGGTTGATGGGAGCCTTCTAATCCTTCGCAGGATGTATGATGATAAAGATCTGGTGTTGGATAGTCTTCAAATTGACAAGTTAAGTGTCTGGGTTCGCATGCATGGGGCTGCTATCACCTCTTACAATTACCGTGGTGCTAGAGATCTGGCAAAGAACTTGGGAGATATTGCAATTATCAAAGAAGATTGTGTTAATCTTCGCAAAGCCACCTACATCCGAGTCAAGGTCTGGATTAATCCGGGAGATCCACTTACTCCAACATTTCATTATACTAAAAGAAATGGTAAGCTGGGTAAAATTCGCTGTACATAAATTCTGTACGCGTTGTGGTAAACTTGGTCACCCGGCACAAAGGTGTCTTATGATTGATGATGCTGCTCTTTTTGATTATTTGGATAATCACTTCATGCAACGGGCCATCAAAAATGATTCTCCAATGCTAATTGATGCTCAGCATCCACTGTTTTCCAGCTCTATGAGGGCTCATGGATATAAACAGAAACGGACTTCCAGAATCATGGATAATAAGTATCTACAAATGCATCATTTCTATGAAACTGTGCCAGAGCATTATATTCAAGATGGTTTTCAAATTACGGAGTTGGATGCCCCCCTGCCTGATGCTATGTATCCTGCCATGTTCCATGAAGATGATGATAATGATGATGAGGATGGCCAAGATGACCAAGATCATGATGATAATAATAATCATGATGATGATGATCACAATGGGTATGATGATGATGATAATCCTGGTGGTTATAATCATGATAATGGCGACCCTGAGGCTTCACACAGAAATCATAGAGATGGAGGAGATTTTGATCCTCAGAATTCAATCCGTCTCAATTATGGTAAGTTGCTTGCAAATGGCTTTACAGAAACTTCCAGAAGGGCGGCTTCAATAGCACAAGAAAGATTATCAGATAATTCTGATTCTGCTTCCGCTAGTACATTTCATTCTGTGCATGTCGAATCTACTCCTTTTATAAATCCTAATTATGGCATGTTTAACTTATCTGATTCGGAGATGTCAGAGTCTTTTCCATCTGATGATATGTTAGCAAACCACAACTTTTGTTGCTGCTTTTGATGCTTTTAGTGACCTGAGTTCTGTATTTGTGGGTGATGCACCTGTATCCCCAAACTTGATTTTTGATGTGATAGTATCGGATTCAGAATCTGTACTTAGTTTTACCAGGTCTGAGAACCTGTCAGATTCTGTAAACGTATTAGCAGAAGATGTCATTTTCCAAGCCTCGGATTCTAGTTTCATTTTAAGATCTTTAATGTACTATTCGCCTTCGGAGGAGAATAATGGAATGCCCTCTAGTGAGTCTGAGTCTGAGACATTCTCCTCCATTCCAAGTACGGCCATTCCAGAGACAACATTGTCTGTAAAGAGGAAGGGTGCCTGGACGATGTCTGCTCCACAACTAGAATACGAGATTGAATCAGAATCATAAGAGGAGGTAAATTCCTACCACATGAAGGTTAGGAAAGTGGTCTCAGATTCAGAAGTTGTATTAGCCCCTGTCCAGAAAGATAAGAAGAAAAAGCAGAAGGCCAGAAGAAAGTCCCAGGAACAAAGCTCAAGTTCCAAGTCTCAGCCACATAGTTCTACGCCTCAGCCAGCAGCTGGTCAACCTTCTCCCAGAGAGATGTCACAGAAAGGCCCTTGGCGAATGAGAGTTGAAGAAGAGTTCCAGGAACCTGAGGAAGTCTTGCTGAGTATTAAGAAGCGGCCACTGGAATTGCAGGAGATTGTTTGGTCTAGCAACAAGAAGATTAAATATGGCACCAGTGAGATGATTTGTGTTACAAGGGAGCGAGAGGAGGATATACTGAAGAGTCTTGCGGTAGTTGAACCAGATCATCCGCCTTCACCTCAATGAATATCCTCGCCTGGAATTGTAGAGATATTAATAGTGCCTCTACTCAGCATTATGTAGGTAGGTTATATAAGCATTATCATCCTAAAATTTTATTTTTAATGGAAACTAAAGCTGGTAGTAGTACCATGGTAAAATGGCAACAGACCACGCCTTTTGGTCAATCTTTTGTAATAGACTTAGTAGGGTCTTCTGGTGGTCTTGCCTTGTTTTGGATGAATGATGTCCAGCTAGATATTATGATGCATGATCAGAATGTAATAGTAGCTAGGGTACGCGAACCTTCAGGGCTTAGTTGGATAGCTGTTTTTCTTGTATGGCCTTCCTAGTAGGCAGGGTCTTGCAGAGTTTTGGTCTCATCTCAGTACCAATCTAAGCTCTTTTAATTACCCTATTGTGTTATTAGGAGATTTTAATCAGGTAGTTTCACAGGAAGATAAATGTGGTGGTAGATTAGTTAGGGATCAAGATACTGTTCCAGTGCATCAGTTCCTGACACAGAACGATTTGGAGGAACTTAAACATATAGATTGCTGGTACACCTGGACCAATAAAAGATAACAGGAAGAGATGATTTATGAAAGACTGGATCATGCCTTTGTCAACAGACAATGGTTATCTGTGTTCCCTTCAGCTTCAATCAGGAATCTGCCTATTATAGTTTCTAACCATGCTCCAATTTTGGTGCAAGTTAAGCACAAGAAGCAGAAAACCAGACCTCGTTTAAGGTTTGAACAATTCTGGACAAATACTTCGACTTCTACTGAATTGGTACAGTTTGCTTGGAGTCATGATAATTTACAGATCAATAATCTCCAAGAGAAATTGTCTTATAAGCTTAAATCTAGTCTCATTGGATTGTCTAATTGGAGCAAAGATACCTTTGGTAACCTTGATAAACTAGTTACAAGGTTATCGGATCAACTGGCAATATTACAATCACAATGGGAGGAGAACACTGATGATGATACAATATTCCATCTCCTTTCACCGAAGAGAGAAGAACTAGAGCAAGCTCTCCATTGCCAACAGGATTACAGGCAACAACGCTCTAAACTGATCTGGCTAATCCAAGGAGACAAGAACACAAAATACTTTCACAAATGGGCATCCAGGAAAAAGGGAAATAAATGGATCACTAAACTTCAATCAAGTGATGGTCAGTGGTTATATGAATCATCACAGGTATCTTCAATCATTTTTGCATCACTTCCAGGATCTTTATGATGTCTCCACATCAGGCTCTTCTGGTTCCTCAGTCCCACAGTTTCAAATCACAACTCCTGACACAGTAAGTTCTCCATTTTTCCACCAATTCATAGATAACATGCAGGAAGGTATCAACCTAGATCAAAGGAGAGCTCTGGAAAATTCATTTTCCTCCCAAGAGTTTTGGCAGGCTCTTAAACAGATGTCATCATGGAAATCACCAGGCCTAGACGGTATGCCTGCTGGATTTTATAAAACCTATAAGCACATTATAGGCTCAGATTTGGAGGCATCCATTTTGGAAGCAGCTGAAAATCAGCATTTCCCACAGGAGTGGAATCAGACTAATATCGTCCTTATTCCCAAGTTGCCTAATCCAGTCAGTCCAGGAGATTTTAGACCAATTAGTCTTTGCAGTGTGAAGTACAAGATTCTTACAAAGATGATTGCGAACAGACTAAAGCAGGTTATGCCAGAACTCATTGATGAACACCAGAATGGATTTGTTCCAGGGAGAAATATCAATGAGAACATTTTACTTGCACATGAAGTCATTGAATATATTAGGAAGAAGGAGGGTGATGTACGAGTTGCTGCAATCAAACTGGATATGAGTAAGGCCTACAACAGGGTATCATTGCCTTTCCTGAAAGTGGTACTCGCAAGGGTCGGTCTCCCACCAAAGCTCATAAGTCTAATAATGCATTGTGTGACAACGTGACATACTCCATCCAGTTTAATGGTGAACATTTACCTTATTTTGCTCCTAATAGGGGTCTCCGACAGGGTTGTCCTTTGTCCCCTTACTTATTCATCTTATGCCAACAAGCTCTTTTCTCAGCAATTAGGGTAGAGTTGCAATTGTTTCTAGGGCTAGGCATCAAGATTAGTAAGCAGGCCCCAAGGATTAGCCATCTAATGTATGCCGATGATAGCATATTCATTTTAGAATGCAGGGATACTTCCATACATGCTCTGTCTGGATTAATTGAGGATTATGCTTCATATTCCGGTCAAAGGATCAATCATCACAAATCCTCCATTCTATTGAGTCAGAATATCTCTACTAGCATAAAGACCTTAGTGCACAACACTTTGAAAATTCCAAAAGGTAATTTTCAGAGCAAATATCTTGGTTCATCTTTAGATTTCAAACAGAAAAAGAAAGAAATCTTTAAAGGGTCTACAACAAGACTCAATAGAAAGTTTCCGGATTGGAAGACAAAGCTTCTTAGTTTTGCTGGGAGAGTTACATTAGCAAAGGCTACTTTATCAGCTATGTTGGTGTATCCGATGGGAGCTTTTAAACTACCAGCCTCCACATTAAAAAAAAGCAGATGGAATCATTGCTCGTTTTATATGGAAAGGACATGACCAGACGAAAGATATTCATTGGAAATCTTGGAAGAAGATGGCCAAATCACAGTTCCATGGGGGTTTAGGGCTCAAAGCCACTATAGAGTTTAATCAAACCCTTCTTGCTAAACATGCTTGGAAAATATTGGCCCAACCAACCTCCCTTTTATCCAGAACATACATAGCAAAATACTGCACCATGGAGAATTTCCCGCACAAAACTCCACCCACTAATGCCACATAGGGATATAAGTGTCCTCTGGGGAGTCAACCTTCTTCAAAATAATATAAAGTGGAAGGTTATTAGTGGTAAAGATATCCCGATTGTCAGTAACTAGATTCCAGGAATCACCAACCCTATCCAGAGCAATTCCTTCTTGGCTCAACATTCTAATCTCATGGTTAGTAATCTTCTCGGGCCGAATGGACAATGGAAACTGTCTCTCCTCTATTCCTTTTTTCCTGACCAATATATTCCTTATATAACTGGTATATATGTGGATCTGGCAAGACACTTGCAGCAGGATGCACTCTTATGGCAAAAGACAGATCATGGTTCCTATACGGTTTAATCAGGGTATCATGAGGCTTTAAATCGTGATCATCTCAGCTTTCCTTCTCAAACCAATCAACAGGTTCCTCCACAAATAGAAAGCTTGGCTTGGCAGAAGTTGTGGAATGCTAAAGTGCAATCCAAACATAAATTCCTATTTTGCAGAGCAGCACTCAATGCCTTACCATCTAAACACGGACTCATGAGAAGAGGAATTCAAGTCGATTCTACATGTCCAAGGTGCTTCACAGGTTTGGAGGACAATCTTCATCTCTTTTTCAACTGTCCGATTTCTCAAGCAGTTTGGAGTTTTGGATATCCTAATTTCCAATCAATTCTAAATGGCTCAACGCATCCCATATTTGATTGGTTTATTACATGGATTCAAACTCAACCATCCTCAGATGACATTGATCTATTCCTCTTAATCTTCTGGCGTATTTGGTTAGATAGAAATGACAAGGTGTGGAGAAATCACACAATCAATCCTGTAACCTAATGGAGATTAATCTAACAGGACCTTAAATAACACCAGGTATTGCTATCCAGAACAAGGTTACATACGGATCCAACTCAATCTCCCCTTCCTGCTAGGAGAAATATTGAACCAATGTCAGAAATCACCTTTGACGCATCCTTCAATCCTCACAACAGAAAGGCAGCAGGAGCCTGGAGAATTATCTCACCCACCAGAATGCTAATGCAGATCAAGTCAGTTTCCATCAATTCATTGTCGCCTTTTCAGGCAGAAGCCACCACCTGCTTAGAGGCTTTACAAGATGCCTCATCTTTGGGGATTGAAAGACTCAACATCTATACAGACTGTGAACTCTTAACCACCGATCAGGAAATTTCTCAATTTCCTAGTGAAGCTTAGGAGTTAATAGCTAATATTCGTACCTTAATGACTATTTTCAGAATTGTTTACTGATTAAAGTTAGCAGGGTATGACTATTTTCAGAATTGTTTACTGATTAAAGTTAGCAGAGTGGATGTTATAGATCTCCATAATTTAGCCTATGCAAAAATGCGATGTAATAGCTTAGGTACTCCTTAATTAATTAATACAGTTATCGTTTCAAAAAAAAAAAAGATAAATAAAACACCCCCAATTTAAGGGATTTACATTCTTTAAACTTTTACATTTGAGATCAAATGAAAAAACTACCATTATCATCATCATTCTGATTATTTTGATTATATTCCGCGTGCAAATTATCGGTCGCCAATTCAAAGCCCAACAAAAAAGGGTAAATTTTTTTACTTACCATCAGTAAGCATTAATGAATCAAGACCTGTTGATGTCCAGGTGCATTCTTCACCATAAGCATTAGTCAGTAAAATTCACCAGACGTGTGAATACTTGCATCTATCTATCTATATTTATCCTTAAATCAGAGTCAGTAATCAATCAACTTTTATTTAAAAAATAGTCAGAATCGTAATTCAACTTTCACCCAATATTTTGCAAATATATCCAACTAATCTCAATGCATATCCCATTTTATTTTCAATATCAAATCAGATTTACTTGCCAGTGATCATCAAACAACCATACTTATCAAGGCTATCAAATACCTGTATAAATATATGTATACGAACCGAGGAAAACCACCATTGAACCACCATCAAATCACACTAAAACACCCCTTTCAGAATTTTGTACCTCCCATGCTCTTTATTACCAATCAATGGCTGCTGCTCAGAGGTATATTGCAGACATTAACTGCTTGATAAGCACCAAAAGCCAATGCTTCAGAATCATAGTTCATGTCATGTCAATCTGGAAGATGTACATGAAGGCAGATCAGAAAGAAATCAAGTCGCTTGAACTCATATTCATTGATGCTCAAGTATTATATATTTCAACCTTTTAAGTCTTAAACTATTATGAAGTGTATAGAAACCATTTAGTTCACTGTATACTAATTTCTTTGTGGAATATAGGGTGGAAAGATTCAGGCTACTATCCCAAAAAGCTATATGGACACTTTTATCGACTACATCGAAGAAGGTTGTGTGCGCCAAATATCCTCTTTTGATCATGCTCTGAATATTGTTGGTGGTTACCGTTGTTCAAGACACGAATACAAAATCGTGTTTGAACCTAACACTATGGTGGAGACTGTTTATGATTTGGATATTCCTAACCATGTGATTGAATTCACTCCATTCGCTAAGATTTCCAATTTCATTACAAATTTTGATTTCTGTTTTGGTATATATCTTTCATGTTTAAATTATTACAATTTTATTCACATGAAATGATTTACATAATTAAATCAATGATTCTTCTGATACCATAGTTTTTTTCAAGATGTTATTGGACACATTATTGGTGTTAGTGAGCCAATCATTGATAGGGAGAAGAAGAGAATATCTTTGGAGATGGAGGATGAAAGGTACATGCTGAAATCTATTTTTTAAACCAAGATCAGAACTTGATATAATAACTTTTACACTTTAAATGTTTCAGATCAATTGTTAAATGATTGCAAACAGACTGTCATTATTATAAATTTTATCATGAATTAAACAGGACTGACAGGTTGAAAATCACCCTGTGGAATGGAAATGTTGATGCCATCCTAGCAATGATGGATGATGATCCAGAATTGCCAGTAGTGCTTATTGTACAATATGTGAAGTGCAAGAAGTGGAATTGTGAGTAATTTTAGTCGCATAACTACGGAAGTTTTTATTTATCTTAATCCCCGATTTCCAACTGTATTCTCAATTTGTGTTTGAATTCTCAACAGCAAGGGCTTCAGTCACCACTAATATGTACAATGGAAGAATATTCCTAAATGACATGGCTGCAATTTCAGACTACAAAATGAGGTTCTCTTAAATTTGTCTGCCTGTAAACTTTCTTTGTTTACAACATAATTTTACTTTCAGAATGAATAATTACGGATATGTTCTAATAGAAAATACACAATTACAGGAACCGGGAGTTTATTATCTCAAAAAGCTAGATGAGCGTAAAGGCAAAAAGTGCTTGTTCAAGCTTGATGTTTCACATTTTAATATAAGGAACAGGGACAGTTAAATGTCAGTTGCTAGGGTGACTATTGATGCGGCGATTATAAAACAATACCTAGAAGCTGTATCTGAAGGTCAGGTAATTACCATGAATCATTTACTTTTCTTTACTTTATTTTATTTTTAACATGTCCAGATGTAGGGCTGTACTATTATTTTTAACATGTCAATATAAGTAAATTATAGATTGGCTTAATCAGACAAATGCTCATTTATTATGTAACAATGCAAGAAATAGATGCAGAAACCAGTATTGAATTTGGGCTCAATATGTCCCCTACAGATGACAGTACTGCAAAGGTGATTTGTCACAGTCAAACATTATGTACTATAGATTATAGAAGCTATTCGATGTAAAGGAAGTATATATTTACTTACATGTTTAACATTTGCAAACTGCTGTATCATGTACTGGTGGTGTTAATGTCCAGAATGCTGATGATGGAAATCCTTTAGAAGATACTGCTAATAGCCCCCCCCCCCCACCAAAGAAGACAAAACCAACACAGGATCCTGAGAGTTTCAAGTCCGACCAGAACAAGTGTGTTAGGAAGATCTGAAGAATACATCATCATGATCATATTTGCTTTTGAGCTTTATTTTGCAAATAAAAATTGCACTTCATATATGAAGTTGTAATCTTTGGCAGATTTTTCTATATGAAATTTTAATATTTGTAGTTTTTTAGCACTTCAGATTGGTGCTTATGGTTGTTTAAACATTTTAAATTATGATATACAAGGATATTCCTTCGCTAAGTTACTTATGATTCAACTGTATTTGATTTAAATGTGAGTTATAAATCTCTCTATTATTTATACGGAGACCACAGTATGAGAATTAAAACAATATAGTGAGCACTTATGTATAATTATAAAATGATAAATGTTAACTTAATTTCTGACCTCTAAAATTTTAAAATTCTGAAAATCCAATTAAACAGACGTTTTCAAAGACAAATTATCAAAGGAGCCTAGCCGGCTCTAAAAATTGGTGATAATGTGGATGAATCTGGCGTTGATGTGGAAATCGTTCAATTAAATCATTTAGTTGTTAAAGGTGTTGAATCGCAGCCTTCCATGAAGCAAGTGACTGAGTCGTGCAAGGAACAAGATGTGCAAACCCTAGCTCCGCACCCCCCTGCGGAAACCCTACTTGCGCGTGCCCCTGCGAAAGCTGTGATTGCGCAACAAGCTGAATCAACGTCGGGGCTGTCTTCAATGGAAAAGCTTGCTATTCCAGTGGATGTCCCTAATGAATGTACCTCCACCATCAGGGGTCTCCAATCGATTTGTGGTTTTGGAGACGTTGACGAGTCTGATGAAGATGATAAGGTTGAAAATGTCTACATTGAAGATTTGACTGTTGAGCAGACTTCTTTGGAGCTTACTATTCCAACAGTGGCTCCGCAACTCCTTGGAAATGCTCATGAGACTATGCAGCAGCTGGATAGAGGAGTTTCTTTGCATACTGGAAGACAATCGGATGATGGTGAGATTGCAAAATCTTCGGGAACTTTGGAGATTGATGATTGCGATTGCGACTTCTGTTCTGATGGAGATAATGAATGTGCGCATGATTCAATGCAAGGGGATAAGTCCGTGCCTAAAAAGCATGGTCGCAAATCCAAAGTTGAACGGGCATTGTCGCAAGAAGGGTGATCCCTCGAAGATCGCCGCGTCTTCAAGAATAAGTCCCCCCTGCTCCCTTTTTTTCCTTTAATTTTTTCCATGATTAGTCAATTAATTTGGAATGTTGGAGGTATTAAAAATCAAGCATCCCAGTGACACTTGAAATCTTTAATAAGAAGATATAAGGTTTCTATTTTGATTGTCTTAGAACCTATGGTTGATTGTAGCCAGATTGAAAGCATTCGGCGCAAGCTCAGTTTTGATCATTCGTTTTCATCTTGTTCTAGCTAGATTTGGTTGTTTTGTTAGAAGGAGTTTACAGCTTCTGTGGTTGGTGACAGTGAGCAAGTGATTAACTTTGAAGTTTCGCATGTTTCCATCTCCACCAAATTCTTTTTCTTAGCTATTTATGCTAAAACTACCAGGAATGCGCGACAAGCTTTGTGGAGGAATTTTGCTGACTTCAAACAGGTTATCTCATGTTCTCCGTGGATGGTAGTTGGGGATTTCAATGTGATTCGCACTCTGGATGAATATCCAGGGATATCAATTCAAGACGATGGGGCTATGTCGAATTTTAATGAGTGTATCTCTGATTATAACCTGCTTGAATTGCCGGCAACGGGTGAAGACTTTACTTGGGGAGGAACAAGGTCTAGTGGTTGGGTTAGCAAGAAACTTGATAGAGTTCTAGTCTCTCAAGAATGGCATGATTTTTTTTTCCAAACTTTTCTGTCAAAAATTTAAACATACCACCTCAGATCATAGTCCATTATTGCATCTTTTTGCAATGCAAGAAGAAAGTGGCTGCGTCGGGAGGAGTTCAAAGATGTGGTTAAAGAATATTGGGATCAGCCATTAGAGCAACAAGGAATGCTTATGTTCTCCTTGAAGCTACGAAGGTTGAAGATGCGATTGAAGGTATGGAACAAGGAGACTTTTGGAGATGTTTTCCAAAATTTGAAGGAGGCAGAGGAAAAAGTCCAGCATTTAGAAGGCATTTTTGATATCTCTGGAGCGGACCAGGACATAATTAATCTTCACCTGGCTAAGGCTCAGTTGTTGCACAAGTTGAAGGAACATGACTATTTTTGGTCTCAAAAAATGAGGTTAAAATGGATGAAAGAGTGTGATGCCAATACTAAGCATTTTCATGCTGTTTTGAAGGAACGACGTGTGAAGTAGAGTCTCTTTAAAATTCAAGCAAAAAATGGCTCTATGTTGACCTCCCGGGAAGTTATTGAACAAGAGGCGGTGAGGTTTTTTAAAGACCTTTTGAATGATTCGAATGATGATCAAGATCACCAGGCTGCACAGGATGATCAACTTCAACACAATCGGCTGCTCTTACTCCTGTTGATGCTCGGTTGCTGACTAAACCAATTGCATTAGAGGAGATTAAGGAGGCGGTGTTTAATCTGGGGGAGGAGAGTGCGCTAGGAATCGATGGTTTTGGAGGGGTTTTCTACAAATCGTGTTGGAAGATAATTTCTCAAGATTTATGGTCTGCCGGTAAGGAGTTTATGCATGGTATCCCTATTCCTAGATCGATAGCTAGCACTCTCATCACTCTAATTCCGAAGAAGAACACTGTGAATACTTTCTCATATTATAGGCCTATAAGCCTTTGTAAGTTTTTAAATAAAGTTTTTACAAAGGTTCTTACGGGTCGGCTGAAAATTGTGTTGCCAAAACTAATATCGGAAGAGCAGTCGGCTTTCCTTGAAGGGAGGGATATTTTTGATAATGTCTTGCTTACTCAAGACCTTTGCCAATTTCTTAATGAGAAAGCTGAAGGGGAGAATTTTATTTTGAAGTTGGACATGATGAAGGCTTTTGATCATGTGAAGTGGAGTTTTTTGGGAAAGAGTATAGCTCAAGTTTGGTTTTCTGCCACATTTTGTTCTTTTGATAATGAATAATTTGAGGAATAACTGGTTCTCTATGATGATAAATGGATCCCCTGTGGGTTTTTTTCAGTCTTCTCGCGGCATCAAGCAAGGGGATCCTTTATCCCCCTATTTATTTATCTTGGTCTTGGAAGCTATGACCAGAAAGCTTAAGGTCTTAGTCTCTTCTGGAAGGGTGGCTGGTTACAAAACTCCTTCAAGATCTATGGTTATATCTCACCTTGCCTTTGCGGATGATTTGATTATCTTCTCAAGGGGTTTGAAGAGGTCTTTGTGAGAGCTTAATGGTTTATTTACTGCATATGAGAAGGCTTCTGGCCAAAAAATAAGTCATCAAAAAAGTGGCTTCATGGTTTCTGAGAAGTGTCCGCCTAGAAGAGTAGCAATTATTCAGGGTGCTCTTGGAATTGATAAGGGTTGTTTCCTTCTTACCTATCAAGGAAGGCGCATAGCCTCCACTTTCCAATTTTTGTTGGATAAGTTGGATGGTAAACTCCTTGAGTTGGAAAAACAAGTTGCTAAGTATGGGAGGCCGGCTTATTCTCATTAAGCATGTGTTGTCTTCAATCTCTATTCATGTTTTCTCAGCTATTCCTCCTCCAAAGTCCATTATTCAGAAAATGGAGAGTAAATGTCAAAGGTTTCTTTGGTGTGGAGTTGCGGATGATAATAAAAGGCATTGGAGGTCCTGGGAGCGAATTACGTTTCTAAGCTTTTGAAAATGGCCTAGGGATTCGAAGTTTTCAAGAAAATATAGATGCTTTGTCATGTAAACTATGGTGGAAATGGAAGCAGAAAAAAGGCCTTTGGTGTAATTTTCTAGCTCCTTTGTCGCGCACTTCCAAGAAGAAAACATCGTGGAATCGTCTAAATGTCATTGATCATCGGGCGGTCCAACATACAAAGGTGCTTCTTAGAGGAGGAGATCGTCTTTTCTAGTTTGATAATTGGTCGCCTTTTGGAGTATTATGGAATAGCAATCATGCCGATCCGCCTGATCCAGGTTTGTGTATAAAGAGCTTCTTCCTTTACAGACAACATTATCTTGATGATTTTATGTTTTATCTGCCAGATCATGTTGTTACCTTGTGAATTTTAGTCATGATTTTCAAAATGACGATGATACACTTTTTTGGCAACCGAACTCTAATGGTGCATTTACTGTTAAATCTGTCTTTCAAGCCTTGATGTGCAAGCAACCAAATGAAGGTTGGGCGTGGAATGTATGGCATTCCATTATTCCTTTAAGGCCCTGTTTGGTTCCCGGATTATTTGGGGGAAAGTAAGACAATTCTGGGAATCTGGAAATTACAGTGTTTGGAACCGTTTTAACATGTTTGGAAAAGAATCTAACTCCCCAATTTCTGGAAAATAGTTGTGATTTTCTGGCAAATATAATCTGTATCTCGATTTGTTATTTTGTTTCCTTTCCGACGAAAATTAATAAAAAAGAACGCGATTTTGTTCCATCCGAATCTTACCCTTTTTATTTATTTGCTCCATCACTCAGAACTCCCATCGCTTCTCTGCTTCCTACTCGCTTCTCTCGTCTTCTTCTTTTTTTCTTTTCTTCCAATCAATTTTTCCCCCCTCAGCTGTTCGATGCTCTATTCATTTGTCTCCGGTAAATTTCGAAGTTCTCCTTTCATATGCTTTAATTACTATGTTTTCTTTTTATTAGTAAAATACTGATTAGCTATTTGTTTTTTTGGTGATTGTTACAGTAAGGAAGCTTTGGTGGTGATTCTTTGTTCTTTTAAAACCCCTTCATGAGGTTAGTTCAAGATTTTGTTTTATTCTTCATCTTGCTATTGCTATTGCTCTTACTTTTTTTTTATTTATTTTTATGTTTTTCCTCCCGTTAACGGTACATGATTGGCATTGAATTTTTATTTTTTATTTGATATATATGAGACAATGTATTGTATCTCTTTCCATCTATGTGATTGGTTCTAAATTCTTTGGAATCATGGCATGATAACTTATTGCAACTATATATATATATATATATATATATATATATATTTTGTGGCTGCAATTTTAAATACATGGCGGATGTTCTTCTCATGTTCATTCTTTCCACTATTGTTTGTTGATTTATTTTTTTGCATTGTCATCAAAGAACCTATCCCTTGTTTCCTTGGACATGCCAGTTTTGCAGTAATTTCTTATCCAAACGTGTCTCTCTTCTTTACTTTCTCCTACCAGAGAGCTTTATTTCGACAAAGTTACGGAGATTTCGCCGTAGTTGTTAGTATTTTCTTCAGTTCAGCCTTAGGATTTGCCTTCATCAAGCCTTCTGCTACATTTTGATTTCAGTTTCTGAATTTCCTTTGCACGGATCTTTTCCTCTAGTACTTTTTGAATAGAACTCTTTTTTACTCAGCCCGTTTATCCCACTGAAACTAAAACCATAGTTTGGAGGGTCTCCATTTTGCTGGGCTTTGCAACTTCTTTAGTGGGACTCAAGCGTTGTGTGTCTTCAGCTCTATCTATTACTTTTAGCACCTTTGGCTTTGATTTGTCCTTCTATTTGATTAGCCTAGCATTGTGCACCAGTAGTCGAAGTTGAAGGCCTTCTTTGTTTGGGAGTGCAGGTTTTGTTTTGTTTTTTAGCTTTTTTTGTTTTTTGTTTTCTTGTTTTTTGTTTTGTGGACATTTTCAAGTGAGGGAATGAATTTAAAATAGATTGATACCTAACTCTCCATTCTTTCTTCTTTTCTTTTTTTTTTTAATGTTCATAATGCTTTGACGTCTAATATCTTTTCCTCTATTCTATTTGTTCTTTCGTATTTTTTTAACAATTTTCTGACAAAGCCCATTGGAGATTTGAGTTTTATGTATAAATGGTGACTTCAAATTTTATGTGCATTTTTTGTGCCTTTTTAATATTGTTAGTATTTTCATAATAGGTGATTCATTCAGATGGATAGACTGGATTTAACTGCCGTGAGAAAATATCTCTATCTTATGATTTATAGGCGACGACAACAAATGAACATATTAAGGATCATGCTAAATGTGGTATATATCATTATCACACACCATTATCAAAAGCTCCTTATTCGGTTGATGAGTACGATAGGTAGCGTTATATCCACAGAGTAATATATTCTAGTGATATAAGGTGTCATAATGCAACACGTATGGACAGGTTTACCTTTAGAAAATTAGTTATGATGTTCGTATATCTGGAGAACTTCGAGATACTAGAAATACAACTGTAGATGAACAAGTAGCTATGTTCTTGCACATACTCGCACGTGACCAGAAAAATCGTACTATAGGATTGAATTTTCAGCGATCTGGTGAAACTATTAGTAAATTTTCAACAAAGTTTTAAAAGCGGTGATTAGACTACAGAGTCAATTGTTAGCAACTCCTACGCCTGTGCCTGAAAATTGCACTGATGACAAGTGGAAATGGTTTAAGGTAAATTTGAATTTGTAATTATTTAATTATTTATTACTACTAAAATATTATTATAAAAAATTAATTATGGTTGATTTTTCAGAATTGTATAGGAGCTATTGATGGTACTTATGTCAAAGTCAAGGTAGCTGAAATTGATAAACCTCGATATCGTAACAGGAAGGGTGATATCGCTACAAACGTTTTAGGAGTATGTTCTCAAAACTTGCAATTTATTTACGTTCTTCCCGGTTGGGAAGGTTCAGCTGCTGATGGTAGATTTTTAAGAGATACTTTAAGTAGAAGAAACGGATTGCCAATATATGATGGTAAGTAGAAGTGATTTGATAGGTTCCTTTAATTATTTTAATATACTTTTACACTAATCATAAAGTTATTTAATTATTTTAATATATTTTTACACTATTAAAATTAATTTCCTTCTTTCTAGGATATTACTATCTTGTTGATGCTGGATATACTAATGGCAAGGGATTTCTTGCCCCATTTAGAGGCCAAAGATATCATCTGTGTGAGTGGAGAATAGGACGTCAACCAAATACTCCAGAGGAGTTTTTCAATATGAAGCATTCATCAGCTAGGAATGTTATTGAGAGATGTTTTGGAATGCTTAAATTACGTTGGGAGATTATTAGACACCCAAATTTTTATCCAATTAAGACTCAGGATAGAATTATCATGGCATGTTGTCTTCTTCAAAATCATATAAGGTTAAATATGTCGATTGATCCTTTTGAAGGTAATGAGTTTGAGTTTAATGGTCAAGAAGAGTTTGAATTTGATGGTGATGTGATCCTGACAGTTGAACCAACAGAAGAATGGACAAACTGGAGGCAAAATTTAGCCAATCAAATGTTTAATCAATGGAGGCAAAACAGAAATAATCGCTAGAAGTCGTATTTATTGCTTAATACCTTTTTTCCCAGTTGTGATAAAATTAGTAATAATAAATTGTCAAAACACGTTGTTTTTTGTTTATGTATGCATTATGATTTTTTCATGGCCAGAAAGGTAATTTTAAGTTTTATTTTTCACATTTATGATTTATACAATATTTCTCCATTACTTTTATACTTTTATTCAAGTATTTATTTTTTTGTGAGTGATTTTTCTTAACATTCATTCTTACTTTTTTTTGTTATTGATAGATATGTCTCGCCGAGGCAAAGGTACCAACCATGTGTGGACTGCTGAAGAGGATGCGAAACTCATTGAATGTATGCTTGAGTTAAAGCGAGGTGAGAGATTTAATGGTGAAAATAGAAATGGGCTGAGAAAGGGATATCAGAAAGAACTAGAGAGGATGTTACAAGAGAAACTACCTGAACATGGTTTGAAAGAGAAGCTACATATTGAATCTCGTTGCAAGACAATGAAGAAACAATATTATATGATTTATGAAGTCCGAAATAATGGGCAACTAAGTGGTTTTGGTTGGGATGACCAAAAAACATGTGTGACAGCAAGTGCAGATGTATAGGATGACTATTTGCGGGTAAGCATTAATTGTGTATTTTTATTTTATGGTCTTTAAAATTAAGAAGTATGATTTTTTTTTTTTATCTTGTATTCTAACAAAAACTTTTCCTCTACCAGGCTAATCCTGAATGCACATTCATGAGAAATAAGTCTTTTGTTTATTATGATGAATTGGCAATTATATGGGGCCAGGATAGAGCTAATGGGAATAATGCAGAAACTCCTGCAGATATGGTTAAAGAAATAGTTAGAGAGGAAAATGTTGATCAAAAGATGGTGAGGAATCTAACGGTAATGATGACTCCAATACACTGGCAGCTAGTCCTAGAGGCGACGGAACTTCCAAAAATCCAGAACGTAAGAGAAGAAGAAGTGCAGATGGTTTAATTTTGAGTTTAGAGCATTTGACTAATGCCCTCACAACTCAAATGCAAAAATCTGATGAGCAAATACTTAAAGTGGCAGAAAATTTTGCCGGAGGAGGTAATCAGAATGTGGACAATCGTCACAAACTAAATGAAGAGCTGCAAAAAGTGGATGTGCTGACAACAGTAGAGAAACAACGAGCTGCTATGAAACTTGTTCATAATCCAAATTTGTTGGACTACTTTGTTACTCTTGGCGTTGATGAGAAAGAGATTTTTCTGGTTGAACTTCTGGTTTAATGAGTCAGGAGTTAAGTTGATTTCAATTGTTTTTATTTTTTCTTTGAATTTATCATTAGAAAATTCATTTCTTGTTCTACTTAAGAAACAATGGTTGAATGGTTGAATAATTATGTTAAGATTGTTTTGTTTTTGAAATGATTGAATAATTATGTTTGTTTAATAATAAGAATAATAATGTTATAAAATTTGTTAATTTTTTTTTTTGAAAGTTTTGACGTTTATATATGCAGAAAATAACTAATACATATGAGGGACGGTGACCGGTGAAAACGAAAAAAAAAAATTCTTTCCATAATAAAGAAAGAGTAAATTTGACAAATTAATAGGTTAGATATTACATTCCGAAAAATTCATATACCATCCAAACACTACATTGGGAATGTCTATTATATTCCTGGCAAGATTCTTTTTACCACCCAAACAAAAGAAAGTGTTTTATTTTACTTTACTATCCTTGTCATTAAATTCCAAGCAATCATATTCCTCAAATACTTTCCTTTCCTATGAACCAAACAGGCCCTAAGGGTTTCCACTTTTATATGGAAGTTGCGGAATAGACTTTTGCCTTTTCCTGGAGTCTTAAGCCGAATGGGATTCATATTTCTCCATAGATATGTAGTTTGTGTATGGCTGGTAATGATGCAATTGATAATTGTTTTTTTGGTTGTACAGTGGCACGGCAACTTTGGTTTCACTTCGCAGCTATTATGCGCATTAATGTCTTGGGAGTCAATTCACTTGCTTCTATGCTGCAAAGATGGTGGCGGAAAGGTGACTTTAAAACAGCAATAGGTGCGCTTTGAAGAATAATTCCAGTAATCGTTTTGTGGGATCTTTGGAAGGTACAAACCAAGTCTATCTTTGAAGGGAAACGTCCAACTCTTAAGGGCTTAGTTCATGTTACTATGGACCAAGCTAGATCTCTTCTATCTATTCATGATCTGAAGTTATGCAATGAGGAGGAACGATGCTTTGTTACGGCTAACTTTGGTCTTGCCCTAACTCGCATTATTAGGCCGCAGTTTTTGAAGATTGTTTGGTCTCCTCCGGTGCCAAATTCCTTTATTTTGAATACTAATGGCTCATCAATGAGTAGTGATTCCGGTTATGGATTTATTACTCGTAAAGAAGGAGGTTTACTTGTGTATGGTGAGAGTGGATATCTAGGAGGGGGTGATAGCTTTAAAGCTGAAGTCGTTGGTGCGTTTTTTGGATTGCGGAGGTGCGACTTCTTGTGTCTTCCAAAAGTAACTCTTCAGACAGATAATAAAGCATTAGCAGATGCTTTGGTTCGTGGTTCTGGTTTTCCATGGGAGTATTTCATGCCTTTCCAGGAAATGTTCTTCATAATTCAGAAGAATGATTATCAGGTTTTGCATATTTATAGAGAAGTAAATTCGGTGGCAGATAGATTAGCTAAAAATGCATCTTCTGGCACTTCTGAAATGTATCATATTATAGACTCTCTATCTGGTGATGTAAAAGGATTATTGATCTTAGATCAACTATCATTCCCTTATGTTAGAACTGGATATGCATTATGTATAAGTCCAAAGGTTCTTCCTACCTTTTGCACTATTTCCCTATATATGCAATAAAAATAGGAAGGGGTGAAGTTAGGGAACTAGATTATATATATGTCCATCCCTTGGGCAGACCCCTTGGGTGCATTATATAATCTAGCACTGCCTGTCTCAAAAACTTACCACTTGGGTCCCTTGAGTTTTTTTGGGGCAGTTGGAACCTGAATATTACCTTAACCTCCCTATTTCTTTTTTTTAAAAAAAGAAAAATGTGACAAATTTGATATGATGATTTATGAAGTGTTGTAAGATTGTAGTGTCGAACATCCTTAATTAAAACATCATTTAATAAAACTTTTGACACATGATCCCGACAGGGTCATTCGATAGTAGGGTAGGGTGTTAGTAAAATTTTTTAAAAAGGAAATTAATAATAAAATAAAAAATATAGTAAATTTTATTTGGCGCTTTTAGGAAGTGTTGTAGGATTTTGGTGCAAGAGATCATTAACCTATTAAACAACTTGTCTGATCATTAACCTATTAAACAACTCGTCTGATAACTGTATGTGATTACGGAAATCAGATGCTTTTAATGTGTGTGTGTGTGTGTATGTCATATATTGTGTGTTTATTCATGTATATTAATTCGGTATTGTAAAAATATTGACGATATCTTCATTGATCTCATTCATTTCCAAACTTAGAAACAAATGGCAGCCGATACCAATTTTTAGTTTTTTAGACTCACATCAGAGTCAATAACTTATGTATCTTCCTCAATGATTATAATAATTATATTATTTGGTGAATACAAAAAAAAAAAATTATTTGGTGAATGTCGATTCTGATATTCATCAGTTTCTTGTGTGTTCGATGCGTGGAAATTAGATTTTGCAAACATTGATTATATGCATATATGATTGTAATCTTTACAAAAATCTCTTTTCGCTCAATCAATTACCATTAGTTAGGAATCTCATTACAAAATGAGATCAAAAGTCAATGAACTTTACTAGCTAGAGTTCATAAACCAAAAGCTCTATTAATTAACTTAATTAGAATGAACACTAATTACCAAGATTTGTCATGCCATACCCCACACAGTATCGGCAGCCATTTATGTCTTCTCCCAAATTGGTTTCATTCTTCTTTTCGTTATCAACCAAGGGTAGTCATGAACATATTAGGTATTTCATTGTATTTTTTTTGAAAAAATAATCCCGTAAGCTAAATGTGCCCGTGATTTCACACATCTTATCTCACCACCATTCATGATTAAAGTAAGTCAGTCCGTGAAGCTACATAGGAAAAATCCTACATGTCATTTTCTGATTTATCAGGAGTTCAGAACTCCATTAAAGTAAAACCATAAATAATTATTATTATTTACAAATTACTATCTAAAACAATGAAACCAATCATTCCTAAAATAATATATATATATATATTTGGTAAAACAAAAATAATATATGTGACAATACTAATATTTGCATAGTTATTAGAAATCATAATTCGCCAAATTCAGTCAGCATAAACTTTATACCACCCCCCCCCCTCAAATTCGAAAATCACATGCCCCATATCTCCCAAATTCGATGACATGACTTATTAACAAATCTCTCAAATCTTACAATTAAATATGTATATATGCACATACTAAATCCCATTTACCAAAAATACATAGTCGAAACTTTGAAAATATCTTTTCATGTCTTGATAACTAATGTATATAATCATCCTAGACGAATCATCATCGACTAATGTAAAGCTTCCCCCGCCTTTTAATTCTGTATGGATTACCAAATCAGTTTTGTAAATTTCTGCAAATTAGAAATCCTTAAAACTATCCTTCTAGCTTCCAGCCTCAGTCACATCTCTTCAACCAATCTTATCAGATCTCAGATCTAATTGTATGTATAGATTGGAGATTGATGGAGGAAAATTTTAATACCGTAATCAACACTGTAAAACATGCTTGATTTGACATTAAAAAAATAATTTTATAACTTTTTTAGTAAAAAAATTTAGGAAAGGGGGACATAAAACAATAGAAACCTATTTTTGGGAAGAAACAATGAGGTTGGATAGGAGAATAGGAAAAGAGATAACACAGGGAAATAAGGAAAATGACAAAACATAATAAATGGGGTTGGATACATGATTGATTCTTTCTGATTCAACCCATTCTTTTGAATCTAAAACCAACTAACCAAACATTCGAATGATTTTGACTCCAAATCCATTATCCAAACAATTTCTCACACTACATTGACACTTATGGGGTATGATAATCAATAAATATTTGTAATAATAACTCAAAAGTTAAAATAACCCATGCAACGCACAGACTAAATTCTAGTAAAAATAAAAGAAAGAGCTCCACAACTTGCAAAGGTGAGAAATGACAACTTGACAATGTTTTTTTACCTACCGACAACCGGCCACCATGCCAGTAGTTGCTTGGGACACGCGTTAGTTGACATGTTGTTTTTCCTTCATCAAAAAAATAAGAACAAATAAAATATAACAACTCAATAAATAATAATAATAATAATAATAACAATAATAATAATCATCATCATCATCATCATCATGATTCTCCCATTTCTTCCATGTATAAATAATCGTGTCCTCCATTAATTTCCCACTATTTTTGTAGTATTCTTAAGTCTATAATATTGTTATTGATTTATATTTTTGGAGCTAACACAACAAAATCTACCTAATGTATAGCCTCTCCCAAATGAACAAATTTATTTTTTTTTAAAAAAATACAAGTACTGTAATTTTTTTTATTTTTTTATTTTTTAGCAAAGAAAAGGGGATAAGAGACTATTTTCAGGTCCCAATTAACTCATAAAATACTCAAGAGGTATACCCAAGAGGTATAACCAAATCCTGAGTTGCCGGGAGTTCCAAGAGCTGATCCGTCGGAGTTTATTACATAACCATTCGGTTTTGGACGTTCCCAGCAAACCAACTTCACCTCTCGAGGTCGCAAAAGCCTCGGTTTAACACCAAACAAAGCATCCATTTCCCTTGACTCCGCTGCTGTTTTAGCCTTCACATTATGGACATAAAGCATTGATCTAACATGATCATTGACAGCTTCAAGAATCCGTGAGAGAGAGAAAGGAAGCCCCTGAAAAATTTTCGCATTGCTTGCTTTCCAGAGTTCCCATAGAATGAAAATAGGCAAACACATATAAACCCTACGCCTAGCTGAAAAGAAATCCCCTTGAAACCACCATGCCTTGACATTCGGCCACAATCCCATAAAAGGATGAAAATTCAGCCCCAGCCGAGCAGCCATAGTATTCCATACTTATTGTGCATTTTGACATTCATAAAAGCCATGATTGATAGTATCATCATTCGAACAACATAAAGGGCAGATTGAGGGAAAAGAATATAACCCAAAACTCTTTACTACATCAGAAAAAGGCAGCAGACGATTATATAGCTTCCAAGC